TCACCATTGCTATGTTAGTTAGGCATGAAAAATATCATATCCTTAACCGACATAACTAGGCTAGCAAAACTCCTAGTGCAGATGCACACATACTTATACTAGCCAAAATGTCTTTATTTTGTCAGGGAACTGGTATGAGCTATGCTGTCAAAAGAATTCTTTCGCTAATATAAGCAGGATCTACACTAAGAGGGTTTGCCAGTCCCTCCAAATCCTTTCTAGGGTAGACAATGCCTTTAAGTCAGGATGTCACCACTACTTTAAAGTCATGATTGGATGGCTGAATTTGCTTTATTTTGATGTTAAAGAATGATATGCAGCTATAGCACACACTCCTTATAGAATAAGAATTCATTTATTAATTAGCGTATATGTAATTTTCAGTTGTACTGAACATTTATTTTCCTAAGGGTAAGGCCAGCATGTTGTCATTTGGCAGTGGGATTTGACTGCATATCTCTCAATTGTCAGACCTGCCACTGTGTGATGGAAGCAACCAAAATATGTGACAAATAATCAAAATGTGGAGCACCTGTGTTTTGTGGCACCTCACATCATGGTTGACAGACTATAAAGGTTAATAACTATACATCTGCTTTTGAAGATGTTGTTTTCACTGTGTGAGTTAATCACAGAATCATAGAAGATTAAGGTTGGAAGAGACCTCATGAGGTCATCTAGTCCAACCCCCTGCTCAAAGCAGAACCAACCCCAACAATAAACCAGTTATTAAGAAAGCAACAACCAAGAAAACAGAAAAATGACTGAGCAGCAATGATTGAGCTCTGGAACGTCAGTGCCCCAGCACAGACCTCTAACATTTGACCTAAAGGAACAAGTGTTATCCTTCATATGGACCAGCCAGCCACTCGTGGAGAATGGGGCATTCACGTTGTCAATGGGTTATATAACTGTTGGGTTAGAGCTCTTAGGTTTTAATCCTGCCCTGGAAAAGGGTAGTATGTGATACCGTGGTTATAAGTACCTAGATTTGGCACATTTTGCCTGAGTGTCAGTTTGGCTGAATGAATGAGACTTGGATTCTGTGGCCATTTCTGCAAGAAGTGATCTTATATAACCTCTCAGTCAAATTATTTATAAAACAGGGGGATGATACTTGCCTGCCTCTTAGTATAATCATATGAGGCTATGGCTCAGGGCCAGGTTGTGAAGTGCATAGAAATATCAACAGCAGTCAGCATGGGAAGAGGTGAGTTTAGAATCCATGGCCGCCTGGTTCACAGTCCAGGGCACCTACGCGAAAGGGGATTCTTCAGGAGAAGAGCTGAGAAAGAAAACAAAGGAAATTAGCTGTTATCACCAGCTAGTTAAACAACATATGCACAAACCTCTTAGGGACACAAAAATCCAATCTTGTTCTTAAAAAAGGTAAATTTTATTAAAAACAAGAAGGAAGAAAATACATCTGGAACTTAGACTTTTTGCTAGATTTTAAAAGAGCAATTCCAAAAATTAAGCACCCAAAATAGCTTTCTTGGGAGTTCAGCATCTGGAGCTAGCACAGAGGAGATCCACAAACCAAAATAAGAAATAAACCTGATTGTGTCTAACTAAACATTCCCTATCCAAATAATTGCTTCTAGGTAAGGAGGATACTTTTTCATGCCTGGTTCAAACCTTACACAGCATTCCTTTGTATAGCATTGCTGCTCCGTTCCTGCAGCCCAGAGAACAACAGACAAAGGGAAAGTTTCTTTCCCAATTTTAAAAAGTTCTACCTTCCCATTGGCTCTTTTGGTCGGGTGCCCACTCCTTTTCTTTTACCTGTGGGCTTGTTAACCCTTTACAGGTAAAGCAAGCAGAGAACAGCTACCAAGAGGGATTTAGTATTCTCTCTTCTTCCTTTCACGGCCTCCCTATCTGCCCAGAATAGGGGTCTTGCAAGGGATTTTCCTCCAGGGTAGATTGGCAGAGTCCCTGGAGGTTTTTCACCTTCCTCCGCAGCATGGGGCAGGGGTTGCTAGCTGGAGGATTCTCTGCTACTTGAAGTCTCTAAACCACAGGATTTGGGGACTTTAACAGCAGAGTCAAGGGAAAGGGGTTGGGACGGCTTTGTGGCCTGCATCATGCGGGAGGTCAGACTAGATGATCATAATGGTCCCTTCTGACCTTAAAGTCTATGAGTTTACAGCTAACTGGCTTGCTCGGTGTCCATCAAAGGGAGCTCCCCACCACACTTCATTTATCACAACCTCTACATCCTGTCACAACACAAAGTTTTTGTAGCCAGGTAATTAATGTTAAATCAAATCTTGAAGTCCTTACCGAGGCCTGCTGCAGGCAAAAGTCACTTTCACTAACTTTGATGTAAAAACTCGAGAAAGGCAGCCTACTTGTAAACAACCGTCTGGAGTACCAACGCTTACATCCTAAATCTATCTCGTTTCATCCAATTAATCATGGTGCAAATCCTGAAGACCTTATTCAGGACATGCATCTGACAAAGTGAGTATTCACCCACGAAACCTTATGCTCCAAAATGTCTGTTAGTCTATAAAGTGCCACAGGACTCTTTGTTGCTTTTTTACAGATCCAGACTAACACGGCCACCCCTCTGATACTTAACTTTGAATAAGGTCTTCAGGATTTGCACCATGATTAATTGGATGAAATGAGATAGATTTAGGATGTAAGCGTTGGTTTTCTAAGTACTCCAGGCGGTTGTTTACAAGTAGGCTGCCTTTCTCGAGCTTTTACATCAGTGTACAGTGATGTATCCTTATTTTTTATCTTTATTGTCCAAAGTTTCCACATGTATATCTTTTTTTCTCATCACTCTTCCAGTTTGGATAATTTAGAAGAGATGCCCTCTATTTTTGTCTCAAAGGACAAATTCACTGTGACTGTAGGCCAGAAGTGTATTTGGGCCTTTATTTTCGAAGGCAGTGATTTTATGCTCCATCATTAAAACAGGCTTGATTTCCCACTTCAATACTTGATTAGAATGTAATGTGTAAAGTTACTTGGGCTATGCTAGGGTGTGGCAGCATACCACCCCATCCCCTCACATTGCTGCCTTGCAATTCACTTAACAGCTACAGTTTTTATAACATTTGCCAAAAATGGCTACGCTAGTGAATTAGCGATTACAAGACAGTTGGTGAAGGAATGGCTAACAGCTAAATTAAAATGACTTCATAGTATTGATTAACAAGCCTGTATTGTGATGACTATTGGCTGTTATCGGTGGATTAGAGTGTATTGCTTTATGGCACCCTGTGGCAATAACTTGTAAAATAAACCCTTTTATATTTATAATGAGCTCATTTGTTATTTCTCATTGTTTTACCGTTGCAACCATTCTGTTGTGCTCAGATCTAGTAAAGGGTTGCCTTTCCAGTTTCATCAGCCTGAAAAGGCAGGAAGTCTGTTCTTTCCTCACTACCAGTAAAGAAAAACTCAAGTGAACTTGTTTGTTTTGTTTTGTTTTTTCTTTTCAGGAAATTGAATCGGATTTTGTACCTTGTCAATGGCAAAATGTCAGATTCTGATTTCGATGATGCAGGTGTAAAGTCAGAGTAGTTCCATTAACATCAATATTGTTACTCTGGACTGGCACCAGATCAGAATCTGACCCAAAGTGCATGAAAGTGTTTTCAATTTTACAAGTCTGAGTGGTGATGATGTGCAAAAGTTCATTGTTATCAAAGGGTCTGATGTAACTTCATTCTGCAGATGGTATTTTAAAGATATCAAATATACTCATTTTGAAAAAAATCTGTTCTAGTAAGAAACAATACTGTAATTCTGTTGTGAGCTTTTTCTCCCCATCTTATCAGTGGGGAAAAACTTCAGGTCTTATTTTTTCCTAGCAAAACCTTACAGGTTTCAGTCATGCTATACCAGTGATGAATTTGGCTTTGTGGAAAGAAAACAGAAAACTGCATGATTTAAGGATAAGGTTAATATTAAAGGTTAATGTCATCTTTGTTACTGATGGGTGACTTCTTACTTGTAAGAACCAAACCAACCTTTTGCCCATTCCCTCAAGAGACCCTGAGTTTTTGACATTCAGAAAAGGTGTGGTAACCCACTGCCACCTGCACCTCGAGATCACACCACCGCTATAGTTTGCAGGTCAGCAGCAAGGTGGCCCACTCTGCTTCAGTGTCAAGTTGTTGGGTGAGGGGAATGCTTCTTTCCCTGGGGGCCGCATCACAGAAAAGTTAAGTGATACAGCCTGTCTTCTGCATTTATTGAAGTGAATGGTGCATTCTGGGTGATATAGAGTAGGGCGGTCCCAGAGGCCTCCTCAGTTAGATGAGAACAGCAGGACAGAGCTAGACAGAGGTTACGGAGTACTGCCACCTGGCTGTGACTGTTAAAGAAAGGGTGGGTGAACCAGTTTAATTCCTGCCTCCAGAGATAGGTAGTGAGCAATGCCTTCTCCCATCCAGAAATGGCCTAAACTGGAGAGGTGGGGTGGGCTGGGCTAACTAGCCACTCCTGAAGATAATTTTATTTAGATCTAGGGCTTGTTCTCAGGGTGCAGGGGGAGAGATGCTGAAAAGCTACAAGTGGGAATGGACTTTTGCCAGGGAACTAGGAATATCTAGAAACTAGAGCAGCTGCTTATAGCTTTTTATTATGAAAATGTGCTCTCATTTAAAATGCAATGAACCTAAAAGCCATAGCTTTGATTAGACAGTGTGTAGGAGAAGTGTTTTAATACAGTCTGTGCCTAAAAGTGAAAATAGGAAGTTATGTTTCTTCCAGCTGCATGCTTCCTTTGGCTTTGCAGGTCTTGCAACACCCTGTGCTTCATGCATTGCAGGAGAACATGACCTGTAAAAAAAAAAAACTTTATTTTCTCTTGAGACAAAAATCAAGGGCATCTCTTCTCAATTAACTAAACTGGAGGAGTGTTGAGAAAAACCAGATACACAAATGGAAACTCTGAGCAATAAAGATAAAACATGAGATACCTGCATCACAACTCACTCTGCACTGATATAAAAGCTAGTTGCAGACAACCCGTCTGGAGTACTTAGAAAACCAACTTTGTGCCAGAAATGTAAGAATTCTCTTGAGCCCCAAATGAGGAAGGTGAGATGGATTTCGTTTCCTTTATAAAATGCTGTTATGCCATCAGTTCTAAATCTTTATGTGGCAGAAGATCCCATATACATTTGGGTATGTAGGCAAGACTTGCCAAATTCCTGTGAGGAACCCAACACAAACACCCAGATGGGGAAACATTATACTTATAACCCTCGGTGGCCACAGAGACTGGAAATGAATGCTACATATATCTCTCTTTCAAAATATAGGGTTAGATCCTGATTCTATTATAGATAATTTGGAATTTTGCCACTGACATCAAGGGAACTGGGATTTGGTTCATAGAACATAAGTAAGGTTGATAGAATTAGGTTTTTATTTTTTAATAATTTTGATAGGTGATATCGATGTTGACTTTTAAGCATTTTAAAATGTTTATCGATTTACAGTTGCACAAAATTATGGGTTTTAACAATTTTTCTTCCATTTTTTATTGATTTAAATGATGAGGGGGGAATTAACCTGGGCGGTGAGGGGGTGGAAGACAATTATTTAATGACAGTAGATGTTGAGATTCAAAAAGTTTATGTTTTAATGACTAAAAAAGCTTTAATTGTCAACATCATTCATCAAAATATGCAGAATAAATTGCCTTAAACTCGGATCAGTTCTCAAGCAGCATTTTTCTTACTGTTCTTCTCTGGCAAATTTAGATTATTATCAATAGAAATATTTTTTTCATTGGTTTTGTGTGTATGGTGAAATTAACATTTGTCAGGATTTACCAATACAAATTCAATTCTTCTAAGCTTAAACATAAGGAGGCAAAATATCTTCTGCAGTGACTCAAGCTGGGGGAGTTATAAGCTGGGGACGCATCGGTTGGAAGTAACGGAAGAGGAGAAGGACCTCGGAGTCCTGATTGATCGCAGGATGACTATGAGTCGGCAATGTGACGTGGCCGTGAAAAAAGCTAATGCGGTCTTGGGATGCATTAGGCGAGGTATTTCTAGTAGGGATAGGGAGGTGCTGGTTCCGTTATACAAGGCACTGGTGAGACCTCATTTGGAGTACTGTGTACAGTTCTGGTCTCCCATGTTTAAAAAGGATTAAATCAAACTGGAACGGGTACAGAGAAGGGCCACTAGGATGATCCGAGGAATGGAAAATCTGTCGTATGAAAGGAGACTCGAGGAGCTCTGTTTGTTTACCTTAACCAAAAGAAGGCTGAGGGGGGATATGATTGCTCTCTTTAAGTATATCAGAGAGATAAATATCAGGGAGGGAGAGGAATTATTTCAGCTCAGTACTAATGTGGACACTAGAACGAATGGATATAAACTGGCCGTCGGGAAGTTTAGGCTTGAAATTAGATGAAGGTTTCTAACCATCAGAGGGGTGAAGTTTTGGAACAGCCTTCCGAGGGAAACAGTGGGGGCGAAAGACCTCTCTGGCTTTAAGATCAAGCTTGATAAGTTTATGGAGGGAATGGTTTGATGGGATACAGTGATTTTAGTCAATAGGTCGATAACAATGGTCAATGATGGGATATTAAAAGTTACTACAGAGAACTTTTCCAGAAGGTCTGGCTAGAGAATCTTGCCCACTTGCTCGGGGTTCAGCTGATCGCCATATTTGGGGTCGGGAAGGAATTTTCCTCCAGAGTAGATTGGCAGAGGCCCTGGAGGTTTTTCGCCTTCCTCCGCAGCATGGGGCAGGGGTTGCTTGCTGGAAGATTCTGAGCGACTAGAAGTCTTTAAATAATGATTTGGGGAGTTCAACAGCTAAGTCAAGGGAGAGAATTCTTCCAGGAGTGGATGGGTCAGGTTTTGTGGCCCGCATCATGCGGGAGGTCAGACTAGATGATCATAATGGTCCCTTCTGACCTTAGAGTCTATGAGTCTAAGCTGGGCTAAAGGACATGGCAAAAGTGATTTTGAGTGGTTGGAAAAGGATGTAAAAGCTACTATAGTGTGGATTGACTGGCATTTCTTGTCCTGGTGTCCTGGTTCCATGGCTCTGTGGCATTGCAGTTCCCTGAGGTTTTTTTCTGAAATTTCTGGCACCAGCTGCTGAGGGGCTAGTGATGGCAGTGCCCTTTATTTCAGAGTCTCTTTTCTTTCTTGTGCAATGGTGGTATTTGAAATGTGCCCACTACTTTTAAAGTTTGTACCTCTGGAGAGATTCCCTATTCATACAACAGGGAATACTGGCCCAACTGGTGGTAATTCTCAAACCAGTAGAAACTTTTAAACCAACAGTACAGCTGCTGTACCTGGCACATAGTTGTATCTATGATGGTGCATTGGCAATCCATGGCTAGTGAGCTAGCTAGATGGACAAATGTGTAGATGGTGATGGGGGGCCAGATTTTAAGGTGTATGCTGAGTAAAGGTGGTCAACATTTCGCTAATGAATTTTTTGGTCAAAAAATGGCCTTTTAAAAATAATGAACATTAATGAAAAATGTTTTTTTTTTTTAAAAGTGAAAAAAAAACCCAAATATTCTTCATTTTTGGATTTCCTCTTTTTCCTCCTTGTGTAAAAAAGGGTGGGGAAACATCATGCACATTTTCCAAATTGGTGCTTTTCAAAAACAAAACTGTTTTTGAAATTTTTACAGTTTCCTCCCTGTCTTTTTGACAGTCTCTAATGTGAAAGATGTTTGAATTCTGATTACCTCTTCCCTTTATGTTGGGCACCAGAGTGTGGCAGTTTAAACAAAATGAGGAGGAGGAGATTCTCATTTGTTTTCCCCCATGAATATTTCTGTTTTCTGCTGCTTTCCCATTGCGTGGTATCAACTCTCTCAGGGGATGCGTTAGCAATCGGATGGTTTTCCGCTCTGAAATATTGGAAGCTATTTATGAGGGTAGAGACTATAATGACCAATAAGGCTGACGAAAGCTAATGAACTACTGCTTCCAAATCACAACGAGAGTGTCCATTTACCCCAAACCATCCCTGCCGTCCAGCTACTGCTCCACAGGGCCGGCGCTTCCATTTAGGCGACCTAGGTGGTCGCCTAGGGCACCAGGATTTGGGGGGCAGCATTTTGCTGCCCTCGGCGGCAATTCGGGGGGGGGGTCCTTCCGCTCTCCGGGTCTTCGGCGGCAATTCGGTGGCGGGGGGGGGGTGGTCCTTCCGCTCTCCGGGTCTTCGGCGGCAATTCTGCGGCGGGTCCGTTCACTCGCTCTGGGACCCGCCGCTGAAGTGCCCGAAGACCGGGAGCATGGAAGGACCCCCCTGCTGCAGAATTGCTGACGACGACTGGGAGCACGGAAGGACCCCCGCCTAGGGCGCCAAAAACCCTGGCGCCGCTCCTGCCTCTCCAATATTCTGTGGTTTTGAGAAGAGATTTAGGTGTAATTCTGCATGACACTAGACACTTAGCAAAAATGGCTTGCTGATGATTGTTGAAAATGGAGAGGGCATAGCTTAGAGATACTGACTGAGTTTTGCCATATTGAACGTGTAAGTTGTTTCCAACCTCAAGTTCTTTTGGCGACCCGCATTGTGGGTCACAGCTCAAAGGGGCTTCTGTGGGGCTGCTGCTCCTTCTCCCACGTAGATGGACAGGGCATGCATGAGAGGGTGGAGTCCTGGAGTTTCTCTCCTCCCCTGAGCTGACACAGTGGAGCGGGGAGAAAGTAACCTGCATTCGGCAAAGGCTGACACAGTTTGATTTTCCCTGTGGAGCAAGGAGGGATCTAGGGACTGAATCGTGTTCCTCGGAGTCACAGGTTCCTGGTCTGCACTTGGGGCAGAGCAGCTACCTCCTAAGGATAGGTTGTGTTGTTACAATCTAGTCCCATATGCTTATAAGTGATTAGACACTACCATGTAACACAGTGTAACCTCAGTAAATGGTTACGTCTCACCAGAGCGAGCCAACGGTTTGTAACAATTAAAAAAAAAAAGATTTTTTTCCACCCTGAGAAGCATAGAAACTGTGACTGGGTTGGCTGTTTGAAATGGTCATTATGAAAAGCAGGGTAACTGACTGACCAAAAAATACAAACATACAAAATGCAATTAGCATGGCTTGTATTTTAATTTCTACCATTAGGTTGCTTATAGAGGCTGCTAGTCAGCATACCAAACAGGAAAATAAAGATATGTTCATTTTGTGCTCTAAATCTTCAGCTGTTGGAACATCAGTTAGATTAGAAGAGCTCCACCAGAGTTGACTGTTTAAGATTCCTGTCTACACAATGGATTTGCCTCAACTACAGCCCCTGGTGTAGCTGCCTTAGTACAACCTCTGGTATGGACAGGCAAACCGTTCTTCACACCCATGCATCTTACTCTAGATTCAATCAGGAGAAAGCTCCACTAGCACAAATAGTGGCTTTGCTACTCTACACTAGGGCGTGCCCTGGTGCAGCAAGGCCAGTCGCTGGCCACTGATGATTGAAATTGGGGCAAATTCTCAGTGTAGATGAGGCCTATGTCTTGATAGTCCCCTACCCTCAGTAGAAGAGATGCCTTACGGGATCACAGATCCTGCTAGGAGGACTGGGTAGAGGGATATTAAATCCCACATCGCTCCTCTCTTTCCCTCATAATAGCCACTTTTCCTGTAACAAAATTCAAGCAAGTTGCAGGTAGTCACTAGAATCTCTGTAATAAAGTCCTTCATGACCATTAATATGTACAGTGAGTGTCTTTCTCACAACAGGAGTGGTCAAAGGGATACAGTAGGATAATATAAGAAAGGCAGCTGTAATGAATAATTATATGCATAATGTCATTGACACTCATTTATCCCTTATAGCTTAGGAAATATCCAGGAGGTCACCAGAGAGAGGAGGGAACAAACAAATGAACAGCAACAAAATCGAGCAAGCCCTCCCCTTCTTCTCCTTTAGACCTACTTATGCCTGAAATCTCTCTCTTGCTTTAGGAAACTGTGGATACGTATAACACTGCAAAAACAAAACAAAACATGGCAGTGAGTCTCAGAACCTGGGTAAACTGACTCAGGCTCGTGGGGCTCAAGCTACGTGGTTAAAATGACAGTGTAGGTGTAGATGTACTCTGGC